CTCGAGTTATGAACTGACCCCAAAAAAAATTTGGGGGGCCCGTACGCAGGTACCACGCGGGGTATGGCGCCAATTTTGGGGATTGGGGCCCATTTGTGCATGTAGATTAAGTCCCCAAAATTTCAGCCCCGTAGCTTCTGTAGGTCTTGAGATGAAAAACCGTGACAGACGCACACACAGACACGCAGACACACAGACACACAGACACATACACAGACAGCCTCTCGTCAATATGCGTTTTTCGCATTGCGTTGCTGCAAAAAATGCATAAAAAGTACCAGTAAGAAACGAACTAAAAGAAAGAAAAAAGTTCAAGCAATAAAGGAAGTAGAAGCAAAAAAAGCAAGCGGAAAACCCGCCATAAATAGGAGACATCCCCACTCATAAAGCTGATGCTTAAGTAAAAAAAGCTGAAAGCCAATAAAATAAAACTGATGCCAATGTAAAGCTGCGAGCTTTACGTAGGCATCAGCAGTTTTATCCCCAGCCCTACGTAAGCACTAGCAATTTGATCTCTGAGCTTTACCTAAGCATCAATTTCATAAATGCGGAAGCTTTACCTAAGCATCAGCAATTTGAACTTTCAGCTTTACCTAAGCATAAACTTCATAAGTAAAGAAGCTTTATCAGCAAAGGACTTTCCCAATTATGAAGCTGATGCTTAGGAAAGCTTACATGTTTATGAAGCTGATGCTTGGGTAAAGCTTCCGTGTTTATGAAGTTGATGCCTAGGTAAAGCTTAGGGATCTAACTGCTGATACTTAGGTAAAGCTGCGAGCTCGCAGCTTCACCTAAGCATCATTTTCACCTTATTGGCTTTGAGCTTTTTTCATCTAAGCATCAGCTTTATAAGTGGGGATGTCCCCTATTTATGGCGGGTTTTCCGCTTGCTTTTATTTTCTTCATTGCTTGTACTTTTTTCCTTTTTTTGCGTTTTTTGCAGCTATGCAATGCGAAAAACGCATATTGACGAGAGGTTTTCTGTGTGTGTGTGTGTGTGTCTGTGTGTCTGTGTCTGCGTGTCTGTGTTTGCGCTGCGCGTCTGTG